AACAGTTTGCTCAGCGCTTTACAATATAACGGGAGACAATACAGCAACAGTACAGTTCAATACAAGAGGGATAGGAGGGCCCTGCTCCTCGGATAGGGATGGATCAGCATCCTTTGATGCAAAACAGGTTTGCATCCTAGGCTGCTCATCTGTCCCTGTATACATGTAACCACTCAGATGTGTAATAATAAAGTAAAGACCAAAATATTTTTCTATTTTAGATTTAATACAGTGGTGGGAAGACAGTCAGTTTTTGCTGTCTGTACCCCGTTGGCGCTCTCTAATTTTCCTAACATCACTGAGAATAAAAGTCAGAGTAGATGCCAACATTTTCAGTTGTCACCAGAACAGGAAACGTGGGGAAATATTCCAATGTGGACACTTGGTCCTGAGACAACTGTCCACATGGGGTTTTGCTCAGATTGGAAAGATAGCCTCTCACTTCCCGATGAATCTACAGGACAGAAAGTGAAGGGAAACCATCCCAATGAAACACAGATGGTAAAAACTGCAGCTTTAACCTCTCCCACTCTATCCAAAATGTAAAAAAGAAAAAAATGTTTTGGCATTAGACATAATGTAATAGTACAATTTTAACCATATGTTTTCTTTAGTGTAATTTGTTTATAGAATGCCATATTCTGTACATAGAATGCTGATCTACTATAATTTACACAGCAGCTTAGGCAAGACGCACAAACACAGAGAAAAATTGGGTTGTCCTGGCTGACTTAAGAATACTCATTGCCTGGCTGTCTCTGGTTTCAATGCTTGTCATTGACCTTGAGAAGTATGCAGATTAGAACACCAGAGTGAAGTCGAAACTCCTGGTCCACATACTTGTTCCAGGTAATAAAACACATTTAAAGAAAAAAAAAAAGGAAACTGCAAGTAAGCACTTAAAGTACTTGATTTTCATGATCTCTTTAATGAGCCGTGAGGCTGAATATATGCCAATTTCACATTTTAAAGCCTAACACCAGGAGTTAAACACACTCTACTTTTTGTAGTGCACCCCAAGCACTGCAACGGTTAAATCTCATTATGTTTTAGAGGTACAGGAACGGGTTGTATTACTTACCTGTACTCCCCACTCCAGGCACTCTCCCTGTACTCCCCACTCCAGGCACTCTCCCTGTACTCCCCCCCACTCCAGGCACTCTCCCTGTACTCCCCACTCCAGGCACGCTCCCTGTACTCCCTACTCCAGGCACTCTCCCTGTACTCCCTACTCCAGGCACTCTCCCTGTACTCCCCACTCCAGGCACTCTCCCTGTACTCCCCACTCCAGGCGCTCTCCCTGTACTCCCCACTCCAGGCACTCTCCCTGTACTCCCCACTCCAGGCACTCTCCCTGTACTCCCCACTCCAGGCACTCTCCCTGTACTCCCCACTCCAGGCACTCTCCCTGTACTCCCTACTCCAGGCACGCTCCCTGTACTCCCTACTCCAGGTGCTCTCCCTGTACTCCCCACTCCAGGCACTCTCCCTGTACTCCCCACTCCAGGCACTCTCCCTGTACTCCCCACTCCAGGCACTCTCCCTGTACTCCCCACTCCAGGCACTCTCCCTGTACTCCCCACTCCAGGCACTCTCCCTGTACTCCCCACTCCAGGCACTACTCTCCCTGTACTCCCTACTCCAGGCACGCTCCCTGTACTCCCTACTCCAGGTGCTCTCCCTGTACTCCCCACTCCAGGCACTCTCCCTGTACTCCCCACTCCAGGCACTCTCCCTGTACTCCCCACTCCAGGCACTCTCCCTGTACTCCCCACTCCAGGCACTCTCCCTGTACTCCCCACTCCAGGCACTCTCCCTTTCTCCTGGAACTGCCATTCTCAGCCAGTGTTCCTACAGAGATTGCTTGAGGTTCCTTGAGCTGTGGCTAATTTACCTCCCATCTGATGTGGCTTTTTTAGATCCAGGTCCTCCTCCACTGGGCAGAGCCAGTAGCATGATACAAATTATCTTTAAGACTTTCTGTAATGTTGAAATTCTAACTACTGCTGTAACGGGGACATTCTTCCCACTAACCACCAAGTAAGGGACATTTTCCTAATGACCCTCAATGGACTAATCCTAGCAGGGGTTCCTCGAGATGTGAAAGTGATTTAATGGGTTCCTCTGGGGTAAAAGGTTGAGAGGCTGCCCTAGAAGCTGAGGTCTCTTGGTGGTCATTCAGCACCATCACATACAATGCAGGGCTATTAACCCCTTTTTATTAATATTGTATACAGTTAATAGCTCAATGTTGCCTTATTTCTAGGTTTGGTGAATTTTAACCATTTTCTTTGTTTTTTGTCTTTTTAGTCACCGGAACCTTATTTTCTGCATAGAATGGGGTCTGGATGCTTGGCACCTCGTCTCAGGCTTGGGAGTTCTGGAGTGACCAGTGATCTCTTGTTTACGAGAAGATTCAGCGGGAATTGTCTGTCGACTCACAGCTCAGGTACAGTAGAAATCTGCATGTGACCCACATATACACACATATATACAGTCATGGCCGAAATTGTTGGCACCCTTGATATTTCTCCAGGAAATCATGTATTTCTCACGAAACGTATTGCATTAACACATGTTTTGCTATACACATGTTTATTCCCTTTGTGTGTATTGGGACAAAACAAAAAAAGGGAGGAAAGAAAGCAAATTCGACATAATGTCACACAAACCTCCAAAAATGGGCTGGACAAAAGTATTGGCACCCTTTCACAACTGCGGATAAATAAGAATGTTACAAGCATGTGATGCTCCTGTAAACTCACCTGGGGCAAGTAACAGGTGTGGGCAATATAGAAATCACACCTGAAAGCAGATAAAAAGGAGAGACGTTCACTTAACCTTTGCATTGTGTGTCTGTCTGTGCCACACTAAGCATGGACAACAGAAAGAGGAGACGAGAACTGTCTGAGGACCTGAGAACCAAAATTGTGGCAAAATATCAACAATCTCAAGGTTACAAGTCCATCTCCAGAGAACTAGATTTGCCTTTGTCCACAGTGCGCAACATTATCAAGAAGTTTGCAACCCATGGCACTGTAGCTAATCTCCCTGGTCGTGGACGGATGAGGAAAATTGATGAAAGATTGCAACGCAGAATAGTCCGGATGGTGGATAAGCAGCCCCAAACATGTTCCAAAGACATTCAAGCTGTCCTGCAGGCTCAGGGAGCATCAGTGTCAGCGCGAACTATCCGTCGACATTTAAATGAAATGAAACGCTATGGCAGGAGACCCAGGAGGACCCCACTGCTGACACAGAGACATAAAAAAGCAAGACTACAGTTTGCCAAAATGTACTTGAGTAAGCCAAAAGCCTTCTGGGAAAACGTCTTGTGGACAGATGAGACCAAGATAGAGCTTTTCGGTAAAGCACATCATTCTACTGTTTACCGAAAACGGAATGAGGCCTACAAAGAACAAAACACAGTACCTACGGTAAAATATGGTGGAGGTTCAATGATGTTTTGGGGTTGTTTTGCTGCCTCTGGCACTGGGTGCCTTGACTGTGTGCAAGGCATCATGAAATCTGAGGATTACCAAAGGATTTTGGGTCGCACTGTAGGGCCCAGTGTCAGAAAGCTGGGTTTGCGTCCAAGATCCTGGGTCTTCCAGCAGGACAATGACCCCAAACATACGTCAAAAAGCACTCAGAAATGGATGGCAAAGAAGCGCTGGAGAGTTCTGAAGTGGCCAGCAATGAGCCCAGATCTAAATCCCATTGAACACCTGTGGAGAGATCTTAAAATTGCTGTTGGGAAAAGGTGTCCTTCCAATAAGAGAGACCTGGAGCTGTTTGCAAAGGAAGAGTGGTCCAAAATTCCGGGTGAGAGGTGTCAGAAGCTTATTGATGGTTATAGGAAGCGACTGATTTCAGTTATGTTTTCCAAAGGGTGTGCAACCAAATATTAAGTTAAGGGTGCCAATACTTTTGTCCAGCCCATTTTTGGGGTTTTGTGTGACATTATGTCATATTTGCTTTTCTGCCTCTGTTTTATATTTGTTCCAATACATACAAAGGGAATAAACATGTGTATAGCAAAACATGTGTTAATGCAATACCTTTTTTGTGTGAAATACTTGATTTCCTGGAGAAATATCAAGGGTGCCAACAATTTCGGCCATGACTGTATATATACATTATAACAGATGAAAAATAGATGCAAACTGCAAAGTGTTTCATTCCAGCATGGTGTGCCTTTTAAAGGCTGATCCAATTTGTTGCGCCTACATCTGCCTGGAAAGCTCTTGGATTTGGACGTTTTAACATGTGCTTTTACAAGATGAGGTTATAATAATATAATAAAGGATAAGCTCTTCATTGGAACATGTTACATGTTCTCTCCATTTTTAAGGGGGAACATGTAACATGTTCCAGCATCTGCAGCCTCTTCCCTCTGATCTCCCCATGACAGTGGGCGGGGGATCTTGTCATCCACCCACTGTCACAATTTGAAAATAATGCAGCCGTGCGGGACTCTGCCCACACAGCCACTTCATTCATTCACAGTTTCCTGTGAATGAATGCCTACAAGTACTGTAAGCCATTGTGGCTGACAGCTTGTAGTTTTCAGTTAACTCTCAGAGAGCAGATGAGCGCTACCAAAGTCCATTGAGCTTTCTGTATTCAGATAACTGCCTTTCTGTTCGAGGTACGGGCAGACAGCTATGCTGAGTCTACAGGAGCCTGACATTGCACCTGTGATGTGTTGATTATGGGTGCATTGCTCTGCAGGATCCTTAGAAAACAATGTGTATTTATTATTTGTTTTCAAACTGTGAACTTATCCCTTAATATTAATGCCTCATAATAGAATAATGCACATATATACAACTGGAGCAATTCAGTATTTTTCTTGTTTAAGTCTATTATTTTATGTGTCTTTGTACTGGGAGTATCCAAACTATTTTAGTTCACAGAATATACAGAATACAGTATTTGTTTTCTCCCCTGCAGGTTTCTATGAAAACAGTGATTTGGACTCCATCTCGTCTTCTTGCTCCTCCCTTTGCAGTGATTCCTCCTGTCACACATCCTTCTCTATGATGTCACCACACCAAAGCTCAGTGATGAGACCAAGGTCCATAGACTATACTAATGAACGCAGGAAAGAACTGCAGAATGGAAGGGCGCAACCTAGAAGACCCATATCAGCAGGTAACAAAAAAGACTTCATAGAGCCATGTGTTCTGTCTTCATGTATTAAGTCACAAATAGGATACAATGTCACTGCATGAGATGTAGCTGTACATAACACTTTATTATTTACTTCCTACAGGGGCACTGGAAGGCATTTCTGTCTTTTCCATTTCCACTTCCCGGTGTGACATCACTCAATATAATGACAGGACTACTTGTGACAACACATATTCTTCAACTCCACCACTCTGTGCTATTCAGCAGCACCGCAAAGCCCTGCGATATATTTGCAAGCTGGCACTCAAATACCGCTGTAAGCCAGGAGTGAGCAATCCTATCCCAGACCTCGGGCCACCAACTCCTCGAACTCCAGCATCTGTTTCTCTTTATTCTGAACGCTATAACAGCTGCCCCCCTTCACCTCAAACCAACTCCCTCTCGTCCAGCTTAGGAGACATACGTAAAACCCCCAAAGGCTCATGGGGGCGTTTCTTTAGTCGTGTCATGCTGAAGAAGGACTCAAGGATTGCAGCTTCAGAGCTAAACCTTCAACACTGTATCAACAGTCCACAAAACAGCCCACGGAGTCCATCCCTAGCAGACGGTCAGCTTGTGAGGGCAAAATCCTTCCGTGATTTGTTATCTGTTAACCCATTTAAGAAAAACAAGAGGGGGCTGAGCAAAGTTTGGTAGCAACATTTCAGTAAAATGAAGACTAAAAATCCACTTCACAACATCAGTAATCATGACAAGTAGATTTTCTTCTTCTTGGAACTCGATTGAAATATATATATTATAAACAAGACTTGTATATTCTGATGAAAGAAAATGATTACTGAAAAATATATGTAGTATGCCAGTGGTGACATCCTTTAGAAAAGGGCTAATTGCCTGGCTGTAATGCTGATCCTTTGCCTTCATTGATTTCCAGGTCACTGGTTTTGAATGAATATCAATCAGTCCTGATTTACCTTCCTAATTGTGAAAAGCAGGCATGGCAGTCAGATAATTAGCATTTTCTGAAAGGGGCCAATGGTGCCTATAATATCTCTTTGGTGGCAGTTTTACTTTACAAAAATATCTAAAGCGGACTCCAGTCCAAACATAATTTGTAAACGTAATAACCATTTACCTTTGTTTTTGGATGCATGGTTTAGAAGAAAAGGTAGTGCTGCAAAATCTTTTGGGCCCGTAGTAGAAAGTAAACCTTCTTTGTGCACAACAAATTAGCCATTACACAAAATGTGTTTCCATCCAACAGACACAATACTGGAACTCACAAGTAAAATTAAAAGGAATTCTGAGTGTTTATGGGATGATGATAACTGATCTGCCAAGTACTGCCATCTTTTTCATGTTACGTTTTGTGTTTCTTAAAACTCCATTTTTTATGTTTAATATCTTCTATGGTACAACACTTCAGATTTTAGGAATATTCTGCTCCCTTTTGTTCTACCTTTGGCAATTTTTTATTTCTGAATGTTACACTTCATGTTCTATTACCTTATGCAGCAGAAAAGTGACTGACATCAAAACTGTTAAGGCAGAAGCTGTTTTAAAGGGTCAGTCCACCCAAAACTGATGTCAGTTTTTTTGTAGATGTTGGAAGTTAAATCAACTGAAATTGTCTTGTAAAATTCAGGGAGTCTCTTAGTAGCATGGATTCCTGGGTCTGCCCAACTGCTGTGGCCATAATGAGTAGTTTCATACGCCTTCTATTGGGATTTTATATTTTTATATATTAAATGGAGGGTTTATTGTTTTTATATTATTGAGAATTTAAGAGGAGATGCTGGAATGTGCAAAGGCAGGCATATACATCCAACACTCCCAGCTGGACACAACAACAGGGTCATTAATCAGAGCAGGGAGTTCCATGTTGGAGTACTCCAAACATAATAAGTTCTCAGGCCACTGTGCTTCCCAAATGTTCATCTATCACTTTTTGTTGGTTTTACACTTACAGACAAGTAAGGAAAATAGGGACAGAAGCCTTATCAAACACTTCCTCATATTGGTCACATGACTGAGGACCATCGGTGGTGGTGATCACAGCAGCTATTTAAATGTTTTTTTTTTCATAATACTTGCCAGGCATTTTGCTGCATTTTATTTCCAATGTAACCAAAGGCAAGAGGAAATAACTTTTTATCTATAGACCCTTATCGTACTGATTGTAATGTAAAAAAAAAAGTCCTGCATACTGCATTTTTAGTCTGCTGAATTTCAGCATCAAAAAGAGTTAAACGATGATTTACACGCGCACAGGGGCATACAGCCATTCATTTTTATGGCTGGCTATACACTCCATCTGCATCCCCCTTTGCTGCTGGAAAATACTGGTAATTGTACATTAGGCATATTTTGGTCCAGCTCTTTGCAAAAAATATACAATATAAATATATCTCATGTGATATATTTGTAACACAAAGAACAGACCTTTAGAGTGGTCAGTACACTGGACTATACCAGATATATTTGAACCCAACCTGACCTGTTTTTTGAAGGGGCATGCTTCAGCAACTTTATCTATTCCTGTGCTGCTCTGGCAGCCATGATACGCTGCCTGATATAAACTTACATTTTCTGGATGAGTAACTTAGTAGTGCAAGAAAGATATGGATGGAGCCTGGACTACCTTAAAGGCGCATTTACACCATGCCGGTCAGCCACAGTGCATTAAATGCAAGCACAGTAACACTCATAGGGGGTGTGTGTACTAAAACTGAAGAGTGCAAAATCTGGTGCAGCTCTGCATAAGTCCTCATGCACACTTGACGTTTTTACAGCTGCTGTTTTTGGCTTTTGATGTTTATTTTCTACAGCCAGTAAACCCCCTAGCATGTTATCTTATGTGTCTATGCACATAGACTGTAATCAACGTTTTTTGGCTGGAAAAACCCCCCAGAACTATTGGGTTTCTAGAGGAGTTTTTTTAGCTGTAAAAACACTCACGTGGCAAAACACGGTAAACTGCCGCAAACCGGTGTTTTTGGACTTTTTTTTTTTACAAATGCAGAAAATGTGGGAATACGCCACTAAACGCTGATGCAAAAACACTAAACAAAAGCTGAAAAACTTGCATTTTTAATGTGACTTTACACAGCTAACGTTACCAGTGTTATCAAAATGCCCCGTGTGCATGGAGCCTTCAAACCAATCAGCTTCAAAGTTCGTTTTTTTTATTTTTTGTTAACGCTTAGTTGAACAAGCTGAAGTTAGAAGGTGATTGGCTACCATGCACAGGTGCACCAGATTCTGAGTGCATCGGTTTTAGTAAATCTCTTCCATTGTGTTAAGTGTTAATATGCATTGAATTTGGACAAGCCACTCATTTTGAACTCGCTACAGCAAAAACTTGTATCATAGTTAATTATAGCAAACTGGTGTAAATGGGCCCTAAAGAAACAAAAAACAAACAGGTCAGTCATGAAAGCCTCCGTATTTCTCTTCCTGACAGATTCCCTTTTAATGTATAATGTTTACAAAAGTCAAATGGGATACAAAATGGAACAGATAGCTGTGCGGTAAATACAAAAAAATAAGTTGATCAAAAGACCTTATAAGTATATTATTCCTAAATCATGGACCACAAATTCTATTTTTCTAGTTAATGCCTTACAATTGCTGTTCTCTATGTATATATATATATTTCTTTGTATTCTTTCCTTGTATTTGCAGAAAAATAATAAAAAAAGTGCTCTTTTTAAAATTTCAAGGGGATTTGTTATTTACAGTGTATCTATACCTACATTTTCAAGCAAATCATTCTAGATGAACCTAACAGCAAGATGTATAAACAAACACCTTGGGGAGAATTACTAAACCCAGAGGATGCAAAATCTGGTGCAGTTCTGCATAGAAACCAAACGGCTTCTAACACCAGCTTGTTCAGTTAGGCTTTGGCAATAAAACCTGGAAGCTGATTGGGTAAGATTTTGCACCCTCCAGTTGTAGTGAATAACCCCGCTAGTTTCTTATGGTGACAACGCTTACCTAATTGAGCTGCAGCGTTGTCACCTTTTGAGTGTGTACCCTAACACATTCAGCTGTTTGTCATCACAGTAAATACAAATTTTTTGTCTAAATGGGATCACGCACAAGTCCACAGGACGTTCTTACAAAGACTGCAGTATGTAGGAGGGGGGAAAAAAGTTAAATTAGAAATAACAAAATAATATTGTGATTCTACTTCACTTATAATGCAATATAAAATTAAATATTCTTATTGTGAATCTAGTTCTGCATTAAAGTGGAACTACGCTGCATCTGAGCACCACAAACCAAAAATGCTTTTTCATTCATTTTTAATACTCAAATCAAATTCCCTCATCCTTTTCATGTCTCCATGCTTTATATTGCTGAGAAATCGAAAAAACCTCTCTAGCATTTCTAGCCAGGGCCATCTTAAGTTAGGGCAGATGATTCATGTAACATTTCCTGGAATCCATCTGCCATTAGCTCAGGCACAAGAATGTGCTTAGCTGAGAAAGCCCCTCGTCTTCTCCCATAAATGCTCCCATGTCTAAGCCTGAAACCAGGAAGAAACTGAAGAAATGTAAAAAGAAAAAAAGTTTAAAACAAGTAAGTATAATATACCTTCCTATCTATTTACTAATGCTATAAGGATTACATATAGTCAATGTTGATTGAGAGAGTGAAGTTCCACTTTAATCCCAGCTACTCAGGATTCACATCCTGCTGTGTGATTACATGGAAAGGATCACTGCTGCTTCCAACTCACCTGCAGAGCCACCTGCTGGTGACTCTGAGACTCCAGTTACAAGAGCAGTTATCAGTGTTAGGACTCGTTCACACTAGGCTGTTTTGCCAACGCTTGCCAAACGCCCCTATAGCTTTTGGCAAGCGTTGGTCCGGCGTTTGCGGAGCGTTATTAACGCTCAGCAAACGCCGCATGCGCGGTTTTAGCGGCGGTTGCTAGGCGTTTGCTGAGCGTTAATAACGCCCCACAAACGCCTATAATGCAGTTTGAGTGGTGTTACCGCTCCGCAAACGCCCCGCAAATGCGTCGCAACCGCACCGCAAACGCCGGCCGGGCGTTTGCGGAGCGGCACCATAGACGAGAATAGGAGGCTTCAAAGCCTCCTGACTCGTCCAGAGGCGTCCGTTTTGCCCCGACGCGACGCAAACGCTCCCGTTAGAACAGCACCATGTGCTGTAATGTGCAGAATTGGCAGAGGCGTTTGGGAAGCGGTAAAAACGCTTCCCAAAACGCCTCTCTGCCGCCTGCACACAAGGCTAGTGTGAACGTAGCCTTAATGTTGCTGCTTAGACCAGCTTCAGTACGTTAAAGTGATTGTAAAACCTCACCTTATAAGACAACCCATTCAGTTTAAAAAATAAATGAAAGTCAAAATATTTGTGTAGCGATATAAAAACATTATAAATACAAGTTTTTACTT